TTTTGTCAAAAAGTCAACCTAAACATTATGATTTAAAAGATATTTCGATAGTTCATGCTTTTTTCATCCCAAATTTGAAAGTTCGCGAATTTTTCGACATTTTTCTCAAACAAAAATCTATTGCTCGGTTGTGTTATCTCTTAGACTCTTAGGGAACGTATTAAATCTAATGATTTGGGATGATTTTAGTTTCTTTCAAATTAATCTCCCAACTAAAACATTGAGATTTTGTGGCAAGAAAATTCAAGATTGATTTCGACATCCTTTCATATACATCACTTTCTTGAATTAGTGAGAACTATAGTTGTTACGATTACGACCTCGATATAACGGTCAATAATTTTAGTATTTTACCAAAACTAAAAAAACATGACGGTCAAAGTTACTATACGAATCACAATAAAGAAAATACGTATCATTGAATACTAATATTGACATATATGATTCCAAATTTGAAATTTATCTAAAGTAGTGAAAATTTGGTTAGTAAATTATTTGGTATCCCAACTTTTTGAAATTGAATATGGGATTTCGAATTAACCATACCACATCGTTATCCGGTATTACGTGTTCCGATCACCTGGCTGACATGCCGACTAAAATCAAATTAAAACCGGTGATTTGGTTGGTTTAACCGGATTTGAATGTTCGGTTATCTTTAATACATCACAAAACCAAAGGATATTTACATAAAGAGTGCCACGTAACACCAAAAAAAGTCACTCACGGGGTCCCACCATGATATGTCGCACGATAACTACGTGGAGAGAGAGATCACCAAAACGACACCGTCTCACTCTCTTCCAACATGAAAACTGAGTGGGCACCGTGTACGTGTAGGACCCACTTCTCCTTCTCCGACGAAACATAAAAACAAAAAACAAAAAGAGAAGCAAGAGATTAGTCTCTCTCTCTCTACCTCTCTCGATCTCGTTGATCATAATTGCTCAATCAAAACTCTCTCTCTATCTCTAAAAGGTTTTTCTCTTTTTAACTTTGTTTTGATTATTTATATAATCTTTGCCTATGAATGGGTTCGTCTTCGTCGTCGCTTAATAATTCTCCGATTAGAGCTGATAGTATGGTAACTCCAGAATCTCCGATGACTATGAAGGATAAGAAAAACGACAACGTTTCGATCATGTCTCCTTCCAAGAAAAGTTTTGGTATTTTTTTCCAAAACTTCTTCTTATAATCGAGAGAGATCATTCATCATCTCTGTGTTTGATCTATATTATAATATTTGTTTCTAAATGATTATATATGTTTTCATTGAATTTTCAGAATCGCCAAGGAAGAGTACTTCGATTCCGGCGGTTTCTCCGACGACGGCGAATAATAATCTCACTCCGGTCAAATCTCGGTGGTCTTTTTCTTCTTCCAAGAAAAGTTTTGGTATTTATTCCAAAAAAAAAAAAATTCTCTTTTTGAATTTAATTCTTGATTTGGGTTCTTTCACTGTTCCACCTTTTTGGATTGTTTTTTTCTGATATTTTAGTTTAAGTTATTGGTTTGATGATTTGATCTAATTTACACACTTTTCTTGTTGCATAAATATTTGTTGTTTTATGTGTTTATGAATATTAGCATGTGGAGATTCGGTGACCGGCAAAAATGTTATTCCATAAATGGTTCTTCTAAATCAATTTGATTTGATTTCTCTTCCTGTCAACATAGAGAGAGACTTTTAGTTATAGGTTCCTCTTCTTTTTTTCTTATCTGATAAGATCAGATATCGAATTTGATTTCTTCCATTAATAGATTTTATGCTGTTGACAAAAAAAAGATTTTATGCTAAAACAGTTACTTTTCCGTAACCATATTGAGATTTTTCTTACAACAGGAAAAAGTAAATTTTAAAGTGAGAGTGAGCTATTTTGGTGAATTATGATTTGAAAAGTTGTCTACTTTAACTGTGACCCAGAAGATCTGACAAAATATGAAAAAGTATTACTACTAATCAGTCTTCTTGATCTGGGTTCCATTGTTTTTCACGCTTTAATTTGAAGGGTTTGGCAAAAATTCAAAATTTTTACCCGGGAACTTTGGAGAATTGATTTTAAATTTCAAGTTAATCTCTTTTCAGGCATTGCGTTGTCACTTCCTCTGATTCTATCTCCTCTCTTTTTTGAGGTCTATTGTTCTATTCTATCTTATGATGGTGATTGAATCAAAAGGTTTTGATATATACACATTTTTTGATTAGTTTCATTGTGTGTTTGTGTGTGTTTTGTCTACCATTCTTGCTCTAATGTTTTGAAATGCATATTTTTATGTCACAGGAAGCAAAGATGAAACCTTTTTCGATTCGCAGCCATGGCTACAATCTGATTCCGACGATGATTTCCACAGCGTAAATGGCGGTAAAATCTTTGATCTTTTTTTAGTTTCTTGTTTGAGTAAATGCTACAGTTTCATTACTACTAAAAATTCAAAATCTTGATATATTGTTTTTACTTATATACTTCAGATTTCACTCCATCACTCGGAAACACTCCTAAGAGCAGCTTCTCAGATAGGCCACCACGTTTCCACAACCTTGTATTCCACGAGAGGAAGTCTTCCCGAGGCTCTTCTTCTCCAGCGCCACTTCCAAGAAGGAAGAAGCTTGGTGAGCTATTCAGAGACAGTATAAGAGAAGAACGAGAAGAAAGCTTTGAAGGCGGTTCATCGTCAGCTATAAGCACTCCTTATCTCTCAGGTGCTAACTCAGGCGAATTCAACGACAACGCCATCGAAAAGGAAGAGAAGAAGAAGTCTAATTGGCAGCATCATCGTTGTCTTCCTGGATTCTCTTCATGTGGTGGAAGTTTCATGGAGAGGAGGAAGAAGATGAGCTCTGAAACTCCGGTTGTTGCTGTGAAATGAAATGTAGAGAATCTTGAAATTTGGAAATGTTTTGTATATGAAAGAATGATAAAGAAGAGAGAGGGAAAGAGATACAGAGCTCTCGGAGTAAAAAAGCTCTGGTAAATTTTACAGAGTACTCTTCTTGCTATGATGAGAAGAGAATCAATCAATAGATGAAGAGATAATGTAAAAAAGAAGAAAATGAGCTGCTTTTTGTTGATGAATTTTTGGATCTTGGCTTATGAAATTTGTCTTTCTTGAATCGTATTACACCACTAAACATGTATTTTGTTGTTTAATCATGCATTAAATAGCTGATAGTGGTTTCTTTTATTCATTTGCTTAAAAAAGAAAAAAAAAATTCAATGTACAGCTACATCTATACAATACTTACTAATTCGTGCACTAAAGTATTTTTCAGGCTTCAGTAGTCAACACAATACTTTAATTAGTTAATAATCCACAATTTATTACTAAAACAATCAATTTTGATACTTTATACGGTAATTAATCAATAAATCACACACATAAATAAATACATTCAACTTTTACAAGTTAAAATTGTGTAGGATTAAAAAAAATAGTATATCACATCCTTTATCTAATAAATCACAAGTCACTATACCAATAATACTGTGACATGTGTCAATTCAAAATTATTTTAAAAAATAAATAAAACAAGTTTCTCCACGATCTCCACAATCTACGGTTACTAGCCATATTTATAGGAACATGCTTCTTCTTTTTTTCAGCCTTTCTTAAACAAAAATAGAAAAATAGATTAATTTTTTACTAAAAAAAATATTTATGCTCCACGATTTCCTATCATTTTTTTTGAAGAAATTGTTAAAAATGCCTATTTTTCAATATCCCTTTTCAAAAATGCCTCCTTTGAAAGTCCATTTTTAAGTTTGCTCTCTTTTAATTTTTAATGACCATTTTACCCTTATTTGAAACAAAATTAGGTCCACAAAATACAAAATATTTTTTGGCGGGAAAAGTGATCCCGTAATTTTCCCGCCAAAACACTTGTAAAACCTTTAAAATACCTTGTAAAATTTTCCCGTAAAATTTTTTCCCGCCAAAAATTTTTTTTTGCGGGGAAAGTGATTCCGCAATTTTTTTGGCGAAATTTTTTTGGCGGGAAAACTTTTGGCAAAAAAGTTTACAAGGTATTTTAAAGGTTTTTACAGAGTATTTACAAGTGTTTTGTAAGGTTTTACAATGTATTTTAAAAGGTTTTACAAGGTACTTATAAGGTTTTATAAAGTATTTATAACTTGTAAAACCTTATAAAAAACTTGTAAAACCTTATAACTTGTAAAACCTTATAAAATAGCTTGTAAAATTTTATAATATCTTATAAATACCTTATAAATACGTTGTAAAACTTTTTAAAAATACATTGTAAAACCTTATAAATACCCTGTAAAAAACCTTTAAAATACCTTGTAAATTTTTCCCGCCAAAAATTTAACGCCAAAAAAATTGCGGAATCACTTTTCCCGCAAAAGAATTTTTTTGGCGGGAAAATTTTTTGGCGGAAAAACTTTTTACGGGAAAATTTTACAAGGTATTTTAAAGGGTTTACAAGTTTTTACAAAATCAAATTTGTAATTTTGATGTGTGCACATTCTCATGTTTTCCTTATATATTTGTGATATCTTTTATTAAAAGAAAAGTAATTTAGTCATTTTGTACATAAAAAGGGGTATTTTTAAAAATGGACAGCCAAAGGGGGCATTTTTGAAAAGGGGTCCATTTTTGAAAAGGGGTATTGAAAAAAGGGCATTTTTGTGAGTCTCCCTTTTTTTTATAAATACCTAATTAACACCAATTCACAACCATTTGTCAGATGCTTCATCAGTGTTGGATTGTGGTGCTACAAAAGAAGGTTTGCTTTGAATGTTATTTTTATCGATTCACTCGAAAAGAAGATAAAAAGGAAGAACAACGAAGGCCAAATGAAAGCACATGGTAAGTACTAGCACGTGAGTTATGAATTATGGAGTTAAAACAGATTTGACCATTCTCTATTTTTTGCACATCTACGACGTTTTGGTCTTACTGACATATTGTTTTGCAGCTTTTTTATAAAATCAAGGACAATAAAAACAGTAAATATAATGTTTACTCAATACAGTTAATTGTTATTTGAGTTTGTTTTCCTTTTTATGTTTTTATTAACATGAGCATGAAAACATATCAAGTCATCGACACGGACACACACATAGTTTAGAGTTTATCTACGTCTTAAGGTTACACAACTTCCATATTTAACCATAATGGTCCTAATGGATTAACATTATAAATACAATTCAGTTGGTTCCTCATGTACAACATCTCTCCTTTTTGCAGAGTTCAAGTCCTCTTAAAATGTAACAATTGATTCCTCTTTTCTTAAGTTACCTCCATTTTGATTCCTAGACGATTTCCAAAAATTCCCATGGTCAATTTGTCGAACACCTGGTGTGCGTAAATAGGGTGAGAATGTAAAATGTAACAAATCTGGAAAGCGGAACCAAAAATTTAGTAGGACTAAACTCACCGTGTGAAGATCCTTCATATGGGAATCTAAGATCATCCATCAATGATGAACCATCACATAAGAAGAGTATAAAGAAGGAAAAGAAATGTTTCGTGAAGAGTAAAAGATAGAGCCTTACTCATTGCATAGAAGAGAAAATCAAATCAGAGAGTTTTTAGATTATTGCTATAAATTTTCTTTTTTGTATCTCTGTAGTAGTTGTAATGGATTAAAGTAAGAGAGAGTTTGGAAGAGGAGAGGAAAGTAAAAAGTCAAATCGTGGTTTTGTGGGGAAGAAGCAGTTGCCGAAGGAGTAAGTTTTTTTTTTTTTTTTTTTGTATTTTTTTTGTCGACACAATAATAGAGTTGGTTTACAACAAAGTGAAACAGCAAAAAATAAGATTTATGCCACGTGTCAAATTGGAGAATGCTGCAGTTTTTGATAAAGTGACTGTTGATTTTGTAAATATAATGTTGTGATCTATGAGGGAGAACGGCCTATTCCCTCCTGAACTATGTTGCTTTATCGCTTACATACACAAAACTTTAGTCTGTGCCTAAACCATCATGAACTTCAATATAATTTGAATTTTCAACACAAACTTTAAAAATCCGGTGGAAACCCTCAAATTGCTAGACGGTGTTATTGTTCCGTTAACGGATGCTGACGAGGACGACACGTGAGCGTTTAAAACGACTGCGTTTTGTCATACGTGGACTCTCATTAGACACAGAGACAAAACGGCGTCGTTTTGATTTGAGCAAAACGACGTCGTTTTGTAATTTGGGGCTTTTAGTCGACTTAGGGTTCATCTTCTTCCCTTTCTCGAGCCAAAATCAGAAATTGAGAGGAAAGACAGAGTGAGACGAAGAGTGAGACGAAGATTGAGACGAAAGAAGATTTGAGATTGAAGATACGGTATATGGGTGCTTCGATTCGAGAAATCTGAGAACAAAAAACAAGATTTTTCTCCGATAATGAGGTTAGTCGAGTTTCCATATCTTTCAATCCCAGATCTTTCATATTCACTTCCTTTAGGTTACGAAATTGGATGGATTGCGTTATACATTCTTAGATTTACATAAACATTGTGTCAATTTGAAGATTAAATTGATTAGCTAGTAAATTTATTTATTGTCCTCCATGTGTTCGACGAAATGCTTAAACGAGTTCTTATGTTTTTTTTTTTTGGACATTTGATGCAGTTCTGAAGAGGAGATTGTTGCAAGTTTTGCTTGCTACCACAGTGGAAAATTTGAAAATGTTTCAGGACAGATTTTTTACGAAGGTGGTGGTGTTCGGTTCGTTGAATCAAAGCCAAGTGAGTTGTTTACACAGTTAATGAATCAGCTTCCGGTGAGTTTGTATGGGCATAAAGTTTGGTATAAACTGCCTTATGATAGATTTGAGGAGAGGAAATCAATCTCTAATGGTGATGAAAATTTTAAGAGAATGTGTTTGGCTGCAATGTGGACGAAAGCTGTTGATATCTTTTTGGAGCCTGAAGATGTGGAGCCTGAACGTGTGGAGCTTGAAGGTGATGAAGAGGATAATGCTAACAGAGAAGAGCAAGAAGTCCACGAAGAAGCAAGAGATGAATGTGGACAGTTTGATGAAGAAATAAGAGTGGAAAGAAATGTGGCTGCCTTTGTTGATGTAGATGATGAGTATGATGAGTATGCGACACCCGTGGAGTCAGATTGTGAAGTTGATGGTGATGATGGTTTTAAGAGATACATCAAAGGTAGTGGTGAGCTGAAGTATAAACAAGTCTTCGATAGTATAGATGACTTCAAAAAAGCAGTTGTGGAGTATGTGTTGAAGTCAGGAAGGAATATCAAGTATACGAGATGGGAGAGCACAAAATCAGAACTTAGATGTGCTAGTGGATGTCATTCTGAGAAAGGAGCTGAAGAAGAAGAAAATGAGGAGACTGCAAAAGATAAACCAGACACTGAAAGAGAGAATTTAGAGACTGGAAGAGAGAGTCCAGAAACTGCAAAAAAAAATCCAGCGGAGGAGGAAGAAGAGCATCAGCCATATTTATGGAGGATCTATTGTGCTTATGAGACAACAGTGGAGAAGTATGTGGTTAAAACATTCAATGATGACCACAATTGTGTGAATACTGGGTATAGCAAGATACTTACTCAAGAAGTTATTGCTAGGCTGTTTGTGAATGATGTGAGAGATAATCCGCAGTTGATGCCTAAAAACATCATACAAGAAATCCAGAAGCGTTGGAGCTTAATTGCATCTACTGATCAGTGCAGAAAGGCAAAAGCAAGAGCTTTGGAGATGATTCAAGAGGAGCATGATGAGCAATACTCAAGACTCAAAGATTACCGCCTTGAGCTATTAAGGTAAGATCAATCACTGATTCTTACATTGTTCTGATTTTTTGTTTAAATTAACATGGTTTGCATTAATGTTTTCTTTGTTTTGCTAGTACAAATGCAGGTTCAACTGTGGAACTAGATACATTCCAGCAAGATGGTGGACTTGATGTCTTCTTCAGATTTTATGTCTGCTTTGGTAGGATAAAGAGAGCATGGAGGAGCTATTCTCGGCCAATATTTGGTATTGATGGGTGCTTTCTCAAGTACTTTACAGAGGGTCAGTTATTGGCTGCAGTTGGAAGAGATTCCAACAACCAGATGTATCCTCTTGCGTGGGCTGTGGTGGAGAAAGAGAATGAAGACAACTGGAAGTGGTTCATTGGAAAGCTGCAGAGTGATTTCAGCCTAGGTGATGGTTCTGGTTTTACTGTCATTTCTGATAGACAAAAGGTAAATCTCAATCTTCTTATTTATTTTGATAGACAAAAGGTAAGTCTCTTGATTCTTATTCTGTCATTTCAGGGTTTACTAAATGCGGTTTCTCAGCTATTACCACATTCTGAGCATCGGATGTGTGCAAGACACATATATGCTAACCTTAAGAGTAACCATCCACATAGAGCAGAGATGAAGAAGTTATTTTGGAAGGTTGCAAAGAGCTACAACACCGCACAATATGATAAGAGTATAGAAGCGTTGAAGATGTATGACATGAGTGTCTACCATTCAGTGATGCAGAAGAATCCAAAAAACTGCAGCCTCTGCTTTTTCAAAACAACATCTGGTTCTGATGATGTAAGTAATAACATCTCTGAGTCATTTAATAATGCCATTAACGCTACAAGAGAGATGCCAATGGTGGAAATGTTGGAAACTATCCGGAGAAGAGCAATGATCCGAATAGATCTCAGAAGGAAGAAGGCAAAAAATCACAAAGGCAAGTATAGTATAAATGCGATGGAGAGGCTGCAATTGGAGATGAAGAAGATTGTAAACTGTAAGGCATGGCCTGCTGGTCCAGGTGAGTATGAGGTTAAGGAGAAGAAATCATCATTCCAGTTATACTTGGGAAAGTATTCTTGCAGTTGCAGGAAGTGGGACATGTCAGGCATTCCTTGCCGTCATGCTTTGATGGTGATTACAGACAAGAAATTGAATCCGGAAAACTACATTTCATCTTGGTATTTGACTTCTAGGTGGAGAAATGAGTACAATGCATATATAGATGCGGTAAGAGGCTGCAACTTCTGGAGGAAATCCGGTGAGACTGAGCTTTTGTTACCACCAAAACCAGAAGGTAGAAAGAGAATCCCAAAAAGAATCAAGGAGAGGAATGAATCACCACAGAAGAAGAAGAGCAAAGGCAAAGAGAAGGAGCTTAAACTTTCTAGAAAGAAGAGAATAATTCATTGTGGAATATGTGGTGGAGAAGGGCATAACACAAGGAAGTGCCAATTCTTAGGACCTGCTCCTTATAGACGTCCAAAGAAGGTTACAGAGAGTGCAACAGTTGGATCATCAAGTCAGCCAACACAAAGCCAAGTCATTGACTAAACTCTCAGGTTTGTAGATGATGCTCTATAATATAGATTCAGTATATGAGATTCAGATTTCAAGTTATTTCCTTCTTGTTGCAGGTTGTTAAAACGGTTTGCAGGGTCTTTTTGAAGGAAGGTTTTTGGTAGTGAAGGTGCTCTGAAAGTTTTTATAAGAGCATTTAGGGGATTCGGATAATATTTTGGTTATGTATCATTGTATCTTTAGGATTAATGTTATGTTGACTTATGGATTAAGGTTTTTGTAACCAAATGATAATCCTGTTTTCAAATTATGGTTAAGTCAATTTCTTTTGAGCATTGTTAGTGCATAATTTTCCATTACATAAAACAATGTCTGACTAACACATAAAGAAGAGCCAGAATCATAATCACTAACACATAAAGAAGAACCAGAATCATAATCACTAACACACAAACACATAAACAAGAACCATCAACACTACACACACAAGAATGTTCTTCAAACCACGCAATTCCATCTTGCAGCCTTGAATCTCCTTCTCTAAACCCCGCAGCTCCTTCTCAAAACCGCATACAACAGCTTCACATGAACGAGTCTCCATTGCAAGAGTTTCCATCTCAGATTCTAAAGCTTGTAAACCTTTTTGTAATGTCAAGGAAGCTCTTTCAAGTTCATCAATCTTTGGAATTATGTCTTCCATCTCTTCAACCATTGTTTCATCTGTCCACTTAAACAAGTGACCATGACCATTCTGCAACATACAAAAACACAATTCAGACATTTCTTATAATTTAAGCTCACTTACACTACAATAGCATTACCTCCTCTCCATATCGACAAGCATAAAAGAGCCTCCCTGGATTTTTAATAGTCTTTGATGTCCTCAAAACTACATCCTCTCCACATCTACATCGACTTGGAATCCCTCTTCCTTTATCACCCATCTTCGTCTCACTCTGTCTTTCCTCTCAATTTCTGATTTTGGCTCGAGAAAGGGAAGAAGATGAACCCTAAGTCGACTAAAAGCCCCAAATTACAAAACGACGTCGTTTTGCTCAAATCAAAACGACGCCGTTTTGTCTCTGTGTCTAATGAGAGTCCACGTATGACAAAACGCAGTCGTTTTAAACGCTCACGTGTCGTCCTCGTCAGCATCCGTTAACGGAACAGTAACACCGTCTAGCAATTTGAGGGTTTCCACCGGATTTTTAAAGTTTGTGTTGAAAATTCAAATTATATTGAAGTTCATGATGGTTTAGGCACAGACTAAAGTTTTGTGTATGTAAGCGATAAAGCAACATAGTTCAGGGGGGAATAGGCCGTTCTCCCTGATCTATGAAGTGCCAAGTCAAGACTATGGTACATATATCATATTTTAAGAGATTTCGTTATCTTAAAAACATTATATATTTCTCTTCTAGCTCAGAAACACATCTATTTCTCTTTTTAATCTAAGAAATGAACAACTTTG